TTGTTCTAAAATGTATAAATATTGTACATATGCATAAATAATATATTTTATTGCGTAAAATTGCCATAGCTATAGTAATTACTATTTGATTTTTAAATTCTAAAAAATTTTGAAGTTCTTACCAGGTGTGAGAGGTAGGTGTGGTATGATTAAATTATACGTCTGATGTGTTTTGTACGGACTCATGTGTTCACAACGAAAACCTGTACACGAATATTGTTACGTACACGGTGGCGCAGATCTGATTGTTGTACTTGAAATTCACACGAACAATGATTGTTCGAAGACTGCACGGCATGGTGAACGCGAGTTAGAATATATTGACAATATTGAATGAGTCCGGTAAATTGTATAATATTATAGTCCAGTTGGAATCGTTGCTAACCGAAATTGAACGAACTACCTTCTGCTAAAGCTCCGATGATGCGATTGAGACGTATACGCGATGGATAGGTACAACGAAAGTTTCATCACTTTTGGTTCATATGTATACCAACGCTAATGATCCTCTACTGTTCGTCTTATATAACTAAGTTGTTCCCAATACTTATAATGTTTTAATTTACGGTGCTTGCCAAATTGTGGTACTCCTACACACTTCACATAATAATCATGTTTCTAAGCTATACTAATTAAATCATATATTTTTAATACGTATGCATTACACAAAGAAAACAAATTAAAAATCAAACCAGTCCTGGTTCAAAACTAGCGTTTGTGATATTTAGGATTCGGGGCTCTGTGGGGTTTTTTTTATAGCAAAGGCTCCGAGAAACAAATTGAAAATAGTTTGAGAACCGCTGTTATATGATATTCGTTAGTCAACAACATGCGCGAGTGTATTATTTCGATGAATTGATAGTGTTATATTATTATTAATATTATTATTATTATTATATTGGTCCTCGATCTTTAAACAATAATAATTATTGGAAAGACAACATTATCCCGCCGGAGACAGCGATGACGGTAATGTTATACTAACATACATAATATTGTATACAGATTACATTGTAATGACAACGCACTGGTGAGTGTATGTATGTGTATGCGTGTGTGTGTATGCGCGTATATATGTGTGTAAGCTAATAATTAGCAGTTAGCACAAACCACTGATATAGTGATGGCACAATAAAATTTTATCTACAGTAAAAATAATTATAATCGGACGTAGAGATTAAAAGTAACATTTAAGCCATGTTTGTTATAATTGATTTGTTATTTTTTGTCTCATCAATGGAAAATATTATATTGCGCTCATAATAATATTATTACGATAAATATTATTTCATGTCCGTTATAAACTATTTAATATTAATATAATATTATTTTTACTATGAAAAAAATGATTTTATATTTTGAATACTATTATAATAGTCAAAATATATAGGTGATATAACATTTAAAATTCATCGAAATATATGAATCTTAGTGCTCTTTGTCTAGTCAGTCTTTCACCTTAAACATCGTCATAGCTTAAAGAGTAAATAATTAGATAATCCTAATTAAGAAATCTGTGACTAGATACATTTTACTCTTACGATTTAACGTTATAACTTAGATGTTAATAATATAAAAATATATATTTGGTTATAACTAAATATAATTCTAAAAAAAATAAGATAAAAATTAAATTAAGGACAATTTTATAGGTAATTTGAAAGGATCAATCATTTTTAAAAGCTATGATGCAGTTAAAAAATACAAAAAACAGATTTTATTAAACATTAACATTATTTTTTATGAAATTCTAATATTCTAATATTATTTAGTGTCTTAAGACCCATCAACGCGATTTTATAGTACTGTTGACAGATATAAATTATATTATGACACGCGAGTTTTAAAGTCGAACCTTCGCAGCTAAAATCTAACGATATATACTAAGTTTACTTGTTATCATTATATATATTTCCCAACGGAAATATTTGACAACTTTGAGTTACGACATTTATTGTCGACACATTGTTTTAATTTTTAATTTTATATTTTTAAGTTTTTCTTGCGCATTTTGACATTTAAACTAAATTATATAAGTTATGAATGACATGTTTTCTTAAAGGACTTAACATAAAATAACAAAAAAACATCATTTTAAATTTGTTTGAATATGCAATAAGAATTATATATCTAAATCTCGGTGAATAATGTCATTTCTATCGTACCAGTATGCTGCGACAATAGTACGGAGAGCAATGTTTTGGCAACGTTGGATAACCTCAATATTGGACTTACTGACACAGCTCCACAGCTGTATTCCATAGATCCACATTGGTTTAATTATCGCTACATACAAAAGACGTTTGCATGTGAGATCTAATTCGGAGTSTMTACYGATCAGCCAATAAAGTTTCCTCAATTTCAGTTTAATTTGTAGTTTTTTCTGATGAACATAACAATATTTCCAATTTAATCGTGAGTCAAGGTGCATTCCTAGGTATTTTGCAGAATCGTTCTGTGGGATAATCTGTTGGTCCAACCATACTGGGTAGTATACACTTTTACGCAAAGTATAATTTACGTGTACCGATTTGTCACTGTTAATTTTGATTTTCCAACGCTTAGTCCAATCGATGACATTGTTAAGACGTGTTCGTTGAAGTTGATCAGTCGCAGTCTGCTGGTCTTCATAATTTGTCAGTATTTCTGTATCATCGGTAAACATAACTGTCATTGAGTAGTTGGTAGTTGGAATGTCAGCTGTGTAAAGTAAATACAAAAGAGGTCTGAGGACACTACCTTGTGGTACTCCAGCTGATATGTTCTTCCAGTCAGTTAATGCTTCACCGTGTAATACTCTGAACCGACGTTCAGTCAGATAGGATTCAATGAGTGCGCACCAAGTGTGTGGCAGCTGTTCACGTAGCTTAATATGTATCCTGTGTGCCAAACTTTATTGAAAGCTTGCGCAACATCAAGGAATACTCCACAACAATATTTTTTTTCCTCTAATGTTTTGTTTATGACATTTGTGACACGATGAACCTGTTCAATAGTTGAGTGTTTATTCCGAAATCCGAACTGGTGTTCAGGAATAAGCCGTCTTGTTTCTATTATTGATTTTAATCGCTTTAAAAGCAGTTTTTCAAATAATTTTGATAAGCTCGGAAGAAGCGATATCCGTCTTTATGAAGTTACGTGTTCTGGGGGGTTTCCCTGGTTTAAGTAGCATGATTGTGCTCGTTTCCGTTGTTTAGGAACGTATTCTGTACTCAGGATGGTATTTTATATGTGTGTTAAATTAATCATAGCCTTTTTGGGCAATTCTTTCAGCATTAGGGTTTATTTGGTCGTACCCAGGTTCTTTTTTTAGATTGATATTCGTATCGATTTCGTTTGCAATTTCGAATGGAGTGAATAACTTAATCGTTTCACGTATTTCGTCCAATGGTCGGCACTGTTCTAAATCGAGTTCAGAAGCTATATTGTTCGGCTGGAATGCCCGTTCCAGATGACGTGCATACGTTTCAGCTTTGTCTTGGTCACAGCATGCCCATGATCCGTCTTCTTTGCGGATTGGTGGTACATAGGCTCTGGGCTTTTTCATTTGTTTTGTAGCCTTCCACAACGAATAATCAATGTCTTTAGTTGTGGAAAGATTACTCAAGTAAGATTTAAACGTTTCGTTTTGACTTCTTTTATTTTATCATGTAAAAGTCTGCAAGTGCTGTTCCAGATAGTTTTGTCGAATGGATCTCTCGTACGATGCCATTTTTTCCTTGCTTTTCGTTTTTTTCTTTACTAGTTCCCTGATTTCCATTGGGTAGGTGATTTCATGAATACTTCTTGCTGATATTTCGGGTGTTGCCAATTTCGCTACCTTAATAAAATTATTAAATCATATACGTAATAATCAAATTTTGTCAAAATCACGAAAATTCGTAAATCATTTTGTAGTTAAAAATAGAGGTAATAACATCTTCAAAGCAACCGAGAAGTCTTAAAAACACACACACACACACGTCTGTGCCGTGCCATTTATTACCCCCTAATAATGTATCAATATGTTATACCCAATTACCCAAGTATAAATGAAAAAATAAAATAAATTATACAAAAACAATGTTCATGTTAACATGCAATCAATTCTGCCGTCATATAATGCATATACGTGCACGCAATCATTTTGAAATCAAATATTATTATTATATTATTATTAGGTGATAAAAAATCAAAAAATGTGAAATATTGAGTCCAAAATTGAAAAACGGAAAATATTTTAATTGAGTCCGTAGTCCGTACCTATAGGCATATTGAATTATATTGTTATTGTTACATTGTTAATTCCTATATAAGAATACCAACACTTTTAAATACTAAGTTATCTAACATCCTAACCGAATTAAATTACTAAAGTAAAAAAAATTGGTTGTAAAATGCAGCTACCTATTAGAAACAAAACAAATGTTCAGGGTTGAATCTTAAACAATTTATCGCTACTTTTTGCCGATATAAGGCATTAAAATAATTAATTGTTTTCAACATAATACATATAAAAAACTAGTATATATAACTCAATAATATATATTATATTTATCAAATATTTGCAAACCACCAAAAAACAAAAACATTTTTAAAACGATATACTTATAGAAATTTTCTTACAAACCGAGCTCGTAAAAATGGGAAGGAAATTGTTATTTTTTTTCAAACTTTTGCGGGACTCTGTTAACACGTGGACTCGGTCTAGTACTCTGGTCCTTGAGAGAACATGTCACATAATCTTCTGTACATCATCTCCACCATAGATTAATATACAATGATTCACACGCGACACCCTGCCATTGCGTAGAACCTATATCGATGACTGGATGTCGTGTGGATAAAATATGTGCAGAATTAAAGTTGTGTCTCGTTAGACAGTTTTTAGCATTATATTTTTAATTTTTAAATTTATCTAAAATACAAAAATTGACACTAAATTTGTTCTAAAAAGTATTTTTTGGAATCAATTCATATGCAACAATTAAAACAATATGCCTAATTGTACAATTCCACAGGTATGTTAGGACGGGAAGAGACGGGCACGGTGACTGCGGTGAGGGCCGACGGAGGTAACCACGTCGGAGCTGCCGCCGTCAGTACCGCGTCCACGTCGATACCGATGCCGCAAATCACCACTCCATCACCGGCACCGGCGAAGATCACAACGACAGTGGCGGACTTGGGCAACGAACGTGGTCCAAAACACCAACCACCCCCACCGCCGACCACAACGAAGACGTTGTGGCCATCATCCGATTGGATCTTGAAAAGGGTCCAAGACATCAAAGCGGCGGCAAAGGCCCGGGGAATAGGCGCCGGGGGCGAGGACTACGACGGTGACGACGACAGCAACGATTACGATTACAATGACCAAACCGACGACGAAATCGAAGAGATCGAAGCACCAACCGCCGAGCCACCACTGCAGCCTTCGCGGCCGCCATTGCTTAGAACGGTGTCTGGCCACATGTCCCGGTATGAGTTCAAGCGGTTGGACGGCAGACCGAACGATGGTCGTGTCAACGGAACGTACGTGGCCGTCATCGAGAGCGATCGTCCGCCACGCGTCGTCATCTACGACTCGGTGAGCAACATTTTATCTTAGATTGAAGATCTGTAGATTAGTACATGATCAAAACATTCTATAAACTGTAATACCTATAGTATTATTTAAAATAGTTGTATACATTCATAGATAATAAAGATTTCGATATCACATAACTATCTTATCAGTGGTAATTAAGGGGTACAATTGAGGCCAAATCATAGATGTTAAAGAATGAATAGACTATGGCTATATTAATAAAAAAGAGAGAAAGACTGTCTTATCATAAATTATTTATAATAATTATATATATTTATATACATTTGTTTTAGAGGGCAATTGTAAACTCCACCGATTTACAGGTAGTCGATTTTAGGGTTGGATTTATAACATATAAATTCCACCGATACGTATTTTTGAACTGAAAGCACGCAAATTCCATATAAAAATCCAAATATACATCTCCTTACAAAAGCTCTATTAGATATTCAATTATTATTATATTATTTATTTTAATATTGTATAATAAAAGATATAAGTATCTTAATATACTATATATAAATAATAAATCTGTACATAAATTATGTAGGTACGTATTACATACGTAATGTTAATAATTATATATTTTTCTATTAGTTCAATTTGATTTTTATATATATATTTTTTTTTAATTATTGTATTTAAATAYAATAGATATATTATAATTAGGGCCCGGATTTAAATGTATTCAAAACCATACAAATATGCTCTAAAAGTTAACCAAAAATGACCTTAAAAATTCCATTTATATTTATTTGTTATACAATTTGTTATTTTAATTTGGAATTTATTATTAAAATATATTTATTACTTTATTGAAAAAAAAAATAAAAATTGAAGAAATTGACTTGATGCTGCTATGAAAAACATACCGGTGGAGTTTCAACTACCTATCAATATAAAAAGTATGATAAAAGAGTCTTAATTGCCTTCACCTCCGAGAACGTGGCCTCAAATATATTGAACATGGTCGACGGTCGTGGCCTATCCATATCTTTATTATCTAAATATACACTGGAATTCCAGTGAGGCCCAAAAATCCTTTAATGTCATACAATCCTTAATGTCTCGGTGGAAATATGATTCAATTTTTTTTTCCAAAATTATTTTTTATGCGATTAAGTTTTTTCGATTTTCAAGATCACTATTTTCTTCATTATATGTTTTAAAACAGTTTAAAAATAAGTCGACAAGTGGATTCTGTTCAATTAGTGTAGAGTGAATCACTGTCGTGGATATTATGTTAAATTTGAATTCAATCACATAAGAATTCGGTGAGGAGATAGTCTATCAATATCAATAATTAGTGTACAATTTCATTACATGTTTTCCATGTTATATTTATCTTAAAGTAATTTATTTTACTACTACCTATCTAATATTAATCTAGTAAATATACGATAGGTTAATTTAATTTTTGCCAAAAACATTGTATTTATTATATTAAAGAATTTAGTTGTTGTAATAGTGAATATTATTTCTTATCATTTTTAGTCAATCCCTCCTTGCCACGTAAAACAGTGTGGGTAAAAGTATTTTTCTATAACAAAGCAACTAATTTTATAGTTTTAACTCAAATGTCTCTAACAAAAAAACATGTGCTAACATATTTTATAGATTTTTTGGTTACGATATACCTACCTACTAACCTACTTATGTGAAACCTCTTTTTAATTTTTAAAACTTTAGCTATAAAATTGAGCATGTCATAAATTGTCAATAAGCAAAAAAAATGAAAATTTTGATGAATTTCTTTATAATTTTAACTTTAAATGCTTGTAAAAAATCATACATCTGCTATATTATAATAACCTACAGAGAAACTTGAGTTCAATTTCAAAACTTTTTAATCCAACAGAAATTTTTTATTTACGTTTCTAGAGATAAAACTAAAAAAAATTCTAAATTTTAATAATCTATAAATAGCTCAAATAGTGCTAAATTACAAATGTTCATGTAAAAATGTTGTGACCAGTTTCAACCAGTCTTGTGAAAGATTATCAGTGTATCATAGTATCGATATTGTGAAGTTATTGATTCCAAATAAAAAATGGTTTTACTTTTTATAAATGTCGTAAACAATTTAAAGCACTACATATCTCAAATTATATTTATTACCTTAATGGTATTCTACATTATTGCGCTCTCTTCGAAAAAAAATGTATTTATATTTATGGCTACGACGAATACTTAAACTATTTTTTTCATAATATGAGACAAAAATATTAATCGTACGCTCAACTTTTTAAATAAACAGCATAATATGGCCATTCAACAATAAAATAACTATCTACTGTTAATTTTAAAACATATAATTGGAAATAAGTTATTTATATAAATATTTTAAGTGTATGAAAATTAATCGTAAAAACTTAAAACAATATATCCTTAACAAAATAATTTTTGAAAAACATTATAATAAAGTCTTGATATTGTAAAAATAAATTAAATTTGTGAAAAAAAGTAAATATCATAAAATAAACACTCTTTGATTTTAAACATTATTACCACGATATTATAACGTTTTCAAAAAAMTACTGACACAGTCTATGACGGTAAAATCATCAGTTTGTAAGTACTAGGTAGATAGATTTTTTAATTTTGTGAAGTATATGCTAAGGCTGAAACCTATTAGATTATTTAAGCTGCTTTTCTGAGTTCCGACGAGTTCCGATTAAATATTCATTAGGTAGCTGATATAAGTTAATTATAAATATTCTGGTGGACGAGAATAAAAATATGCATACCACTTTTCTGTGTAATTTTTTAGCATTAGGATTAGGCCAAGGGTCGGCAAGTAATTTCTATTGAAGTCCGGAACATCAAAATAATAATTAAATGAGGCTCGAAGAAAAAATCTTTGCTGAATCTCTATATTTTTATGGTATTAATATGAAGACTTAATATGATAATTGAAGGATATTATGTTGACGGTCAAGGTTTCTAGTGTTTCTACCCTCCGCAGTCCAGATTCGGACCACCGTCCGCCAGTTGTAGTGACTAGGCGGGAAATGCTGCTTAGCTATTAGTATTATATTATTAAAATAATAAAATATTTAGCTATTAAGTAATAACATGACGGAAAGTTGTCCGATTTTGACACACTTTCGATTAATTTGAAATCGGACATTTTCAACACGTTTTATCGAATTCGTTCGAGTTTCGCAACGTTAAATAATGTATGACGGTACATTGTTATGCGTATTCTCCGACGATAGATGGATTTTAAATTATTTATTTAGGTACACGGATACATATATATTATTGTTATTATTATACTGCTGCAGGACACGTCATAAATTATTCTACATAATTTATTTTAAAATCACCGTTCATGTGACTCTACATACGCACACTTTTAGTAGGTTAGTGCCTATACCTATATAGTAGATATACTAGTATTCAAAAATAAATGTTTGAACAGAACCATTCGAATAAAGGTAAGACGTGTAATAATTATTGTCGTATTTAAAAGTAAGCAATGTATTTACTATTTAATACGAAGAATGTGCAGTCCACAATTTTATTATTGAAAAACATCGATATTTTTTTTTTTTTTTTTATTATAAATAAAGGCCTCAACAATATAGATCATTGGCCTAGAAAAGAAACAAAAGTAGGTATATAAACGTAATTTAGCTAGGTGGTACTATAGTGAATACAGTGTTTAAGACATCGATATGTTAGCGTAGAGTCGTTCAATTTTAACTGTGATATCGTGCTACTGAAAATACCTACTTATAAATTAACATTATTTAAAAAAAAAATTTTTATGCAAGTATTTAAGTTCCCTCGTTTAGAGTACACTAAAAATCTGTACTACAGTTACATTATCCATTTATATGTTACGTACGAGTATGTGCATTATAATGTAAAAATGTAGCAACCACTTCAATTGTTAACATTAATTATTTTTTGATGTATCTATTCATCGAGAATTTTAGTGGTCTTCCTATAAATTCAAAAATTGTAGAACCTAAAAAATTATTTCAGTATTGGAAATTATTTGCATGCCCAACGTGAAAAAATAATTTTATTAATCATACATTTTCGATCCAAACTGATATTTATCTAATATTCTGATACCAATATATTTTTGATATAATATAATATATTATTATTAATATTATTAATAATAAAAAATATAATCTTTATTATATATTGAGAATATATCTACATTCTTTTCAGAATACCAATCATACATTTGTATACCTATAATTTTGGAAGTTTAAAACTACTATTTGATAATTTCAGAACTACAGTAAAATACCTAGGCCTACAGTAGACAGACAGTACAGACCTACAATATCATATTAATATAGCGTTATACAATGGAATTAAATTCTGTCTGTGAAATCTTTAAAGCCAGAAGGATATTTCTCGCTGTATACTTAAAAGGCGTCTGTCAAAAGTATTTGTTTGTGTTTTGAATTATATTTTTGTTCAAAATAAGTTTCATTCCAGTTAGCGAACGCAAAGTATGAACGCACTTTGTCTACGTCAAACTATTCCACTTGCTCAGCTCCGTCCGATCCACAAAAAGTAAAATTGTTAACAACAACTTTAACCCCTTGTTTACAAGAAATCCTGAGAAAAGGGATAATGAACAATTCTTCGGCCAGTGGTATATCACGGCCTTCTTAGCGATTTTGTCATTAATGAGCTTAAAACTTTTGATGCGATTAAGAAATGATTAAAAACAACAACAAAAAAACTAACAGAACGACCTTTCACCAAGGAGCATCTTAATAATTCCATAAAAAGTTGCAGCTCAACGTTAACAAAATATTATATCCTCTACTCACCACCACGCCACCCTTCCCTGAAATCCCCTTAATCCGCATTAGCACAAATACTCACTACAAGAAAGTCATTTTTTTTTTTTTTAATGGTTATTTCGAAAATCATTAACATTTCCAATAAAATTTTTTTCATAGTTACACTTAAAAAATAATATTTTTACTGTTTTTATTGTTATCTTTTTTAAACTCATTTGTTTAGTTGAGCTGACGATGCACACTTCAAATTACATATTCCTCAGCAGAATATTTTTCCAACAATTGTTTTTATTAGGTACAATTTCTAGGTTAATAAGTAACACCTTATATTTATAGATACACATAGACTTAGACATAGGTAAACACAGTCTACATGTCTACTAGAGTAGTACGTCACAGGGGTTAGTCATATATTATGCGAGTTTAATATGTACTATTATCTATTACCTACTCATTCGAAATGTTATTTTTATACTGTTATTTTATTATAATTTTAATACATAGTATAAAAATAAAATATTCTCTTTTAGAATATGAAATCAAATATCATTATGTATGTTGTCACTCAAAAATTAAAGCAAAGCTTTTTAAAAATATTGAAAATAAATACTAGTTAAAAATATATGAATATTTTTTTCAATTATGTTTTGTAATAACTTTAAAGTATGCAAATAATATTTCACACACCCTGTATATTTAAACATATATGTAGGTATGTGTTTATTTAGCGTGTGTGTGTGTCTGCTTGTTTGTTTTCGCGTGATTAAAGTATTTATTTGTTCAGTCATCTAATGAGATGGCACAGCCGTTCAAAAAAATCGGCCAGATGACCGACTTATTTCAAAAACCAATAACTGTAGCCTGTAGGCACATTTCTACTGCATATACGTGAAATACAAGTGCACAAACACACATATATACATCCGTTTATTTATATATGTAATAATGTATTTATGTACGTATATAAAATGAAATATGTATATTATGCATTAAGTACGTAGCATACAAAGTATAATCGCACTCCGCAATCACCTACTTAGTCCTAATATTATACGGTATTTTATGTCTTAGAGTCAATATAAGGATGTAAGGAAGTTACAAGGATGTTTCCTCTAGGCTACGCCTTGTTTATTTATTCTTTTTAGTTTCTGATTTTTACTGGTAAGTACATGTACAATGCCTGCAAATTCTATACAGTATACACACTGCTCTAGTGTCTGTGTTCCTATTGACTTCATCAAGTTCTTCTGCCTATGCTTACACTTAATACGGACGCCAACCATGTTATGTTGTCAGAGATGAGCAAGTTGCTCGATTAGTTGAAACTGGTAACTAGTTAGGTACACTAAAATTCTTATGAATTTAGTTGCAAAATAGATACATTGAAAATGTGTACGTAATGAGTTATACAAGTTACAATTACAGCAAATAAGTGTTACATCTGATATTACAAATTTTTTAATTTTTTATATTTATTTCTTCAAGAAAAGAATGGCCCGGGTGTAATATATTTATTTTAGTGATTCTTGAAAAAAACCTATCATGTAAATTATAAGTTAAAATATCAAAGTATTAATAATGGAACATATTAAAATAATAGTTACAAAACATTATTACAAAATGTGATATCTAGAATATTTGATTAGATTATATTAGGTACATAAATAAAGTACATATATAAGTATCGAAACATAGCACAGACTTAATAGTTATTATGCTGACTCGAAATATGGATAACACACTTACACACACAGAAACTATTATGCAACAATATTAAAAACCCTTTACATTATACCTAACTTTTAGTATAAATATTTACTTATCAGTGCTTATTATACCATAAAATGTATTTAAATATTTTAAAATTACTACCTAAGGTTTGTTGACATCGTAAAATAATTAACTAATTAACTGATTTACAATTAAATGTATTTTTTGCTATAGCTAATTATATAATATACTTTATTAAAAGTTATACAGTAAACACTGTAACCAGCTACATTTTAAAGTTATTCCAAAATGTATAGTAATATGTATAACTGATTACAAGTTACAAATATGATATCATGATGGTTACGGAACTTTTAAACATGATAACTATTCAATCTAGTGGTGGATTTAATGGTTAGGATATAAAATCAACAAATCCTCTAGAGAGGCCTCATACAAAATGTATTACTGACATACTTACAGTTTGCAATATAAAATGTATTCATTTTTTTTTGTGCTAAAATTAAAAAAAAAATTAACCATATAAGTTTGATAGGCCCCAGTATACCTATGTCATAATATTAGAAGCGGAACCATTGGCGGAATTTGTCGATAGCTGACTAAACGATCGTTAAATCCACCACTGGTCCAACAATGTGTTCATTTCCATCATGCGCGTGAATTTTTATGTCGTAACTATAAATGAAATACACATCACACGTTGAACCTTTCCATTATGTTATTATTTATATTTTATTAGTAATGACATCCATAATGTTTAAAAACCTATAATATGGAATTGACTTGTCTGATTAAAACGTTTCGTTGTGTGATTACAGGCGAGGCAGAAAAAACCAAGAACCGAAAAATAGATCCATCAAAAGACAGTGGATGACGAATTGCAAACGGCAGCTAACGATCGCCCGAAATAATATTATTTTCCGCATAGTAATACACACAAACACACACACACACACACACTCACACAGTCACACAAAAGAAGATTTTGTTGTTTCAATCAAATAATAAAATATTATTATAATACCTACAACATTATGTTATAAACTCGTCTGGTTAAATATATTTCTCTCGTTCATATTTTAATACGTTTTAATTTTTCGATGATACGACCAAAATTAACACTGTCACGTATTAATTTTTAATTAATATATTATAATAAAATTAAATATCATAAGTTGTAATTATCGTGTGCTGTATTATACACATACGAACAATACATTTTCCTGTGTGAAATATTATTAATAATAATAATAACATTTTATTTATAATTATTGAACTACAGTTAAGTATAACAATACTTAATATTATATACTAATATATTATATTATTATACGCTGAAATTAATTTCTATATTCCGTAATTACCTACTTAAGCATTAGATAATATTATGATGTCTGATATAATAATATATTAGATAATACGTTTACGCGTGTACGATATAGATTCAAATGTCGAATTTCATTTTGTTCCATTTTTCGAATCCGTTTATCATATATTATTATTATTATTATTAATATTATTATTATATTATTTATTTATGCTGTATATGTGTATAAATAAATGAATGAAAAAAAAAATGATTCTCATCTTGTTTCATTTGTTAACCCATTCTCGTGTAACATTGTAGTCGACTAAACAGATTTCCGTCTCAGTTTGTTCAACTAATGCAGAGTATATCATAATAAATGAGTTAGATGACACCACCTAAATATTTCATAGGTGCTGTGAAAATATTTTATTTAATTCAATGAATCCACATCTGGTAAATTATATAATATATACACTATTTAATCAATTGTATAGGTTATAGTTATACCATTAGGTTTCATCTATGTTTTATACTTAATTATGAAACGGGTCTATTTGTTGCTAACAACCAATTTAAGTTATAAAAATAAAAATATAATGATATATTGTATGAATTTATAATTGTATAACATTATTACTCCTTAAGTACCCTATGATTATTATTTATTTATTTGTATTATAAAATTATTTTAAAGCTCCACGCATCGTTCAGCTAGATTCAATGTTTTGAAGGTTTCAATTATTTATTCAAGATATAGGTACATTCTATATTTTTATCTATGCTTGTCATTATTTTTTTTAAATAGTCAAAATGTTATAATATGTGCGTTCTAACAACATGGTGTTTCTAATAATTTGATAACACTACGCTTAATATTTAGAAAATCATCTTTCACGTGGGCAGAATATTTTCACAATATTACCATGAATGATTTTAAGACTATTCAAATGTTTTTATTACAAAATATTACTTCTTTACTAGTTCCAGACATAGTTAACCTGCAATTATATGATCAGTCCAATATGGGTGGTTTTTTGTTTTCCAGCAATACGGTAAATCACGGTAAGCCACATGACAGGAAGGTAGGTCATGTGTGTGTCGTATACCTAATATATTATGTTCGATTAGTTGGTAAGTTTAATCCTCTGCTAAGGTCTTACAGCTTTAAATAAATGTGTGTATATTACCTACTTAATATATACTTTAATGATTTAATCGAGAACAAAATTCAACAAAATAATTATTTTTATATATTAGTCCACAACTTTCCCAAATTACAATTAGTCATCTAATTATTAAATATATAACCGATGGCCTAAACATAAAATATCAAATAATATTATATTCATTCGTTTTATAAATGATAAAAATATAATATGTAACTCATAACTAAATAAATAGGGATAATTGATAATACGCATACCAGTCATACCACAATTGGCTTGTCTATCGCAAAGTTCTCCACTTCTATTATAATTTATTAAAAATTGACTAGTTCCGACAAATGAATTCGGAGAATTAATGGCAATGGTTTTGTGTGTAGTGTAGCAGGGAGAGGGGAATTAGCCAACAGGACGAAAACGGTTTTTCAACTATATAAACGTGAAACTACTTTCTTTGTAACAGATAAGCTCAATTAATTTTATCGATTTAGCTAAATTTTAATTCGTTGTGTTCGTAATGTCAGGGCAGAGTTTATATGAAAGAAAATGTGAGGAAAATAATTTGAAAAGTAAGAAATCTGGATGGGGAAAATAGAGAGTGGCTCCATCTAGACATACAAAGAATAAACTAAATAATAATATGGTCATGGTTATAATATAATGTAATTGAACCTTCTTACCACCATGTAAATGTACACTAAGAAAACATTCGAGATTATCGATGATATTTTTTAAGTTTTGTACATCAGTACACCAAATATCAAATAAAGTATTGCACAAATAATAAATCACACAAATTTGACATTTTTAACAGGTGACAAATCCTTGTTATATGAACTGGAAATATGAAATCTTGCTTCATTCATTAAAGGCAATGGCTGCATAGTAAAATACAATTTATATATATATATATATTATATACATAAGTAAATTTATAGATTGTTTTTCTTTTATGCATTTCTACACTATTCATCCTATCGCCATGAAACTTTAAAGATGGTTGTTCACATTCTTTTGGAGATTTCTGGCATATTACATCCTGGCGCTATAAAATATATCAGTAAAATACCACTTATACTCACTCAACTATCACTATATCTCAAAAATACAAAAGGTATAAACTTTAAATTTTTAATAGTGGTTTCTCTAATCATTTTGATCATAAGAAAGGCTTTTCTGAAATTTGCATTTTAAAGAGGTGTATAACAAGGATTTTGAGATTCATGATGTAAATTTAAATTTTTTATTTATAAATAGTTGACGTTGGTTAAAAGTTATAATTTTAAATTGTTATAGTAGAAATTAGTTGCGATTGATTACTTTGGTTGATGAGGTAAGGGTATCAAATTTTCATGTTTATGGCCTTTAATTGTTTATTCGATCAACATGATAATTTGTTTAATTACCATAAAACAATTAATATGAGTTTACCTAGTTGTTAAATATTTCTTCCATAATATGTTTGTTGCACATTGACTCCAAAAGCACTCAACTGATTTTGACGAAAATTATAAGAATATGCTTAAAGTTATCTGAAAACTTTAGAGGGTAGCTACAACCTCGTTCGGAATCCAACCAAGAGCTAGAAAATCTGAACCGAGTTACAGCAAAACCGAGATACACAAATAAGTCGTCAAATTTTGTATTAATTCATCATTTTTCCCGTGAAAAATCAATATCAAAAACTACCGGATACATTGTAACCGATCCACTGTAGGTTGGATTAAGTAAAAACGACAAACTTGGTAAAAAWTAGAATTAGAAATGGTCGTACACACCTCACACCTCGCATATGCGGGATGCACAATTAATACCTAACTAATAATATAGTCCTCACATACTCACAATTGGATCTTAAGGGCACTCCTTTTGTCAAAGCCAACACCAGACAAGATGGTCAGTGTCATCTAGTGGTGTTTCCAGAGTTATAAAATGGCGGAGGGGGGGAGTTAAGTATAAATTAAACTAAGTTTTTTACAGTATTAGTAAATAAATTATTGGTTACAAATTATAATAGAAATAATAAAATATTTTCAAGTTTTAAACACCGTTACACCAAATATCAAATTACGAATTCAACAAAGTTTAATCTTATATAATTGGAATTTTAACGACCAATGAAGTGCGTGGGGTCAGCTAATAAAATATTAAAAAAAATAAGAAAAAAATTATATTAAAAACAAAATTTAATGAGTGCCAATAACCAACATAAATGTAAATGTAAAAGTTTTATTCCTTTATACTTATTACAAACGCAATTTTACTACTTACCTACGACAAAGTAGGTAATTATTTTTATTCATTTTTTTTTGTTTCTGATAAAATAATATTTTATGCTTAAATTCAAAATAAATTATTTATAATATAATTAAGTACTTTGATGAATTTCATAAGAATTGTATGTAATACATTTTCAATTTTAATAGTCAATAAAGCTTAAAATTTTAGTAAAATATTCCTAACAAATAGGTAATTTCTGCTGAAGCATACCCATTCAAAAATACACATTTTTTTTATATTATTTTATTTTGAACTTAATATATTAATTAATTTTAAACAAAAATAACAATTTTAGAAATATTTTTGTAATTCGACAAATGCCATTCATGGTGACTTGAAACTTTTATTTTTATTTATTTATCACATAGTAATATTTCACTAATCACAATGATATTTCCAAAAAAATTAAATTAATTTGAAGTTTTTCCTACAAATACTGCTATGGACCTAAATGCACGCCATTCTGTGATACATCGACACATAAAGCAAATAACAATCATATAATATTATAATAAGATAAGATCCGGGGTATGGCAGAAACCTATGGGTACCCCATTAGAAATTCTGCCAATCAGGCCTCCGGTGTAGGTTAGGTTAGTCACCCGGACAATAGCACCATACGAGTTTTTTTTATAAGATAAGATAATAATTAATAATAAAATAAATTTAAGATATTATAGTGTACCTAATGTTTCAGCAAAGCATAATTCAACTTTTCAACTTATAAATAAATTTATTGTTTAAATATATAGGACATAGGTATTCAATAAATAATATTATAGTCTAAAAGACAGTCTCTGACACTCTCCGCTTAGAACGGTTTTCCGTATGCAATGATTTATCATTGATTACAAATTCAACGCGTCTATTACAGTAAAGATGACGATGTACACTCAACACTCAACAAACAACGGGTTTCCTACATTTTTTTATTTTTTATTTAGAACTTTTAGTAAAAACTATCATAGTTAGACAATTACAATATTAAAATTACATAATTAATGTATATGGCAGTATTTAAACATAGAATAAAATAGGTAAGAATAATAATCGACATTTGCATAGTGCCATAGTCATACATAAAGAAGCCAATTAGGGCAGTGAAAAAAATTAAATTGGGTATCCGCTGAATTGGTCGCCGGTAAAATGATCACGGGCGAATTGGTCGTGAATACAATTGGTCGCCAGGATAATTGATCGTCAAACGAACATTTTTAGTTTTTTAGTTATTTTATTATAATATTAGGTATATTTCCGAGTTTTGTACATTTAAAGTTTCTCACAGGTTATTAAATTTAAAATTATAATAAATAAATAAATAATAATAAAAATAATAAAAATAATAATTATATTAATAATTATACATTTTAATTTATTTAAAGTTGGAGTTGAAAATTATGGGCTA